AGGAATATTACGAAATACTTATGTACACGCTAACGCAGTACATCGGACATTTGTATTCGCATATATATATATATATATAATTTTTTACCATTTTTTTTCCGTTTTTCTGTTTTTTTTTTTTCTCCTCTTGTGTGTATATAGCACGTTTTCACCGAGACCTTCGAATGTCATATATCTTTTTCGTCATTTTTTTTTTCTTTTTTTGCTTTTTTATTACAAACAAACGTCAACCGAGACTTGCCTTGCACGCACACGCACACACGCGCCACTCGCCATACAAAAAGTTTCGCGTAGGAAAATATAAATGAAATTCAACTGTATCTCTCTTTTGTTTCATTTTTTTTAAAACTTTTTTTTTTGTTTTGTTTAAATCCTGAAATCTTTTTCTCAGACTTTTGGGTTCGAAAAAACAGTCGCACCACTATATCCTCGGATGTCTCTCTTTCGCTCTCCCTTTCGCACTCTTCTCATCCCCACTCGTGCATACAACAGTTTCTTCACTCGTGTTTCGTTTTTTTTTCCTTTTTTCCTTTTTTTCGTTTCTTTTATATCATTTTTTTTTTTGTCATTTATTTGCACATTTGCTCCTCCTTTCGCATCTCGTGTCTCTTCAACTACGTATTTTTTTTTTTTTATTTTTTATCATTTTTTGTCTCTTTACTTGATTTAAATCGACTATCCGCGGCTCCGTTATTAAAATATAATAATTTCGATTCTCTAGAATAAAATATTTTCTTCTGGTTTTGTTTCACTCTCTCCCTCTCTTTCTCTCTTCCTCTTTCTTTCACTCGCTGTGTCTGTGTGTGTCTCTCTCTCTCTCCCTTTCTCTCTCTCTCTTTCTCGCTCTCGCTCTCGCTCACTGTTTGAAGCATCAGTCACGCATCGGTTATACAACTCGTAAAATATACAGGCTCGCGTGATCTCCTAACCCTAATCTAGATCGCTTACACGCTCTCTTCTCCTCGCTCCGTCTGAGTGTTAATTATCATTTTCCTTCTTTCCTTCGTATCTCGCGCGAACAATAGAAATGGCAATCGAGTACGCAACGTGACGAAAAGGGGGGTGAGACTCCTTCGCGGTACCGGATGCACGACGCGTTCGCGTCCCCTTCCCCAGCATCCTACATCGAAATGAATCGAACAGGGAACCGCGAGCGAATTTCCCTCGCAGCTCTCGTACGAAATAAAGAGAAGAGAAGAAACCGAAGTGAAAAATTCCACGAGACTCTGGAATCGTTTCTCAGTCCCTTCGTGCAACCAACTTCTCGCTCATCTCGACGACCTGACACTTACAAACTACCCTTACGCAGCGGCTAGACTAGCTTGAACGGTATACGCTTGTTCCTCGAACGGGTTCTCTCGCTCGTCTGAATCGTCTAGCCGGAAAAAAGAAAAAAAGAATTTAAAAAAGAGAGAAAAAACGTCGAATCTGACAGAGCGAAGCAAGCCTCGTTTCCTCGAACGAAACACGTCGGTACCGTCGTTGATTCACAAACGAAATACGTCGATGTAACGACGCAACGATGGCCGCCATATTCCTTCGAGGAAACGATCGTAGCGCCTCAATTCCACGCGAATTCAAAGAAAGAGGAGTGTCGTCGCGAAATGTCGGCGTCTCTTTGTTCAATGCGCGTATTTACAATGTAGTACTCGTACCGATTAAATCTCTTTTTCGTCTCGAGCATCTTCTTTTCCTTCTTCTCCGATTCTCCCCGTGATACGGAGGATCGTTTCGACTGTCCCCCATGCTCCAATCGTCGTTCGACTGATCGAACGCAACGACCAGGATGTCGATCTAGGACGTGTAAAAAATCCGATCGAGAGCACCGACATTTCCCTCGATCTACCTAGGTCTACGTTATTTACAAATCTACAAGCGAACGTGCCTCGTCTACGTTGTCTACCAGTAGGTTACTCCTCGCAGAATCGAAGCATCGAGAAAGTCGAAGAAACGAGATCTCTGCTCGATGAACCGTCGCCTCTCGAATGCCATCTACATCGTTCGACTCGGTGGTTCCCTCGTTACGTTTAATTATCGATTAAGCTAAATTTGTTTCATTCTTATCATTCATCTGTGTACATGCTTGTCCGTGGCGTTCTATGCGAAACGAATGTTCGTAGCTGAATATTTCCGATGGGAAATAGAAGATGGACGAGAACCACCGAGTGAACGAGTGACACGAAGATCGGCAGGAACGAGACGATTCGTCGACAGTAATTTTTTTGCCTTTTTTCTCGTCGTTTTCTGATGCTCTTAATGGAAAAATACTATGCAATATACAGATTGTACGCGCTGCGCGAGATCGATCTACCGATCGATCGATCGATCGCCACTTTAGGAGGCGACCACGTCGACTCCGTCGCGTCAGCGTACACGCACGACGATAACAACGAATGTACATTCTCTCATCTAGAGATAGAAATCTATGGAGATCGGCGAGTTGTCGAGGTCTAAGACACCGTACTCGCCGGTCCTCGTACGCTTACATGATTTATTTACACGCGAACAATCACACGCGCCACGACGTAAGTACTCTGGTTCGCTGTTTCCCTATCGTGTCCTCGTCGATGTGAGTGAACGTCACCAGAAAAACGCACGGCTATTATTGTATCTGCAGTTTGTACTAGGATCGTGTATCTCGCCCCGCTAGTGATTGATTCCTCCCCTTCTAAGGAAAATACAGGAGGACAGAACCGAGAAACGACATCGTTTATCATCGAGTAACAGTAAGTGGTAGCTACGGTGTCGAGAATCGGCGAAAAATCGGGATCTCTCGGTGCGCTGCTGATCGACGGAGAGTGTGTGATTGTACTTACACCATCTGACCGCGAGTCTGTGTCTCTGATGGATCTGTTAGTCGGATCTCCTTTAAGAGGAAAGGATCGCGATTTGAATTGATCGTGATCGAGAAACGTAGGCGACAGTAATTGGTTCTCTCGTCGACGAACGAGTGTCACGGAGAGATGCAAAAGACGATCGGATATAAAAGGAAAGAAGTGTCTTAATGCTAGCAGGATGAACGCGTGAAGAATATTCGAAATTCGCGAGTGCCAACTTATTGTTAATCGGAAACAGTAATACGCGCGCGCAGTGGACAAAAGAACGTTGTGTAGCACCTTATCTCGTATCACCAGCGACAACGGCTCGCCGTGAATCGACGCTCGACATATCTGCGATCGTTTCGATCGACGTGATCCATCGAATCTCTATTCCTTCGTACCGTTGAGAAATTAACAGGAGAAACGTACGGGAAATGGGACGCCGCTCGTGTCAACTTCTTCATCTCGCCTCATGAAGATCTCACATCTTCATCTCGCGTCAGTGCTGCACGAGTTGCATTCTTTGCTTTGTCTCTAGAGTTAAATTAAGGTAGAAGGGATATCTTATCGATTAAGACGTTTGCCGTGACTATTTGGTTTCTGTTGGAAGCAGAGAGCATAAAATTACTTGGGTGAAAGCAACCGTTTGAAGATTTCAAGAAGCTATTCCACTGACCTCCTGATACTTTCATCGATCTCTATATCTATCTTGCTTACATACGTGGTCAAACGATATTTGTCTTTGCTTGATGAAGATTTTACGACATTCCACTGCGACCCAAGTGGCCTAATGCTTACTGAGAGCTCTAAACGAAAAGATCATACTCAACGCGTATTTCACACTTAGGTTGAAACAATAAAATTATAAAGAGGAAGATTGAACGTAAGTTTCCATTCATGAAACAGCACTGACGTGAGACGATATTCGGAAGATGAAGAGATTGACGCGGAAAAGTGATTCTTAATCTAAGTACATCGCGTCTCGTAAGCGCCGATCTCAAAGAGTATTGAAAAGAACGTCTACTGGAAAGTTCGAGGCACGAGAATCGGATTGGCAGGACAGGCCACTTCCGCTCGCAGCTTGAAACTTCGACATGTCGTGTCTACGAGTAGAGTCTGCGTAATCGGCTACAAAGTTCGCACAAAATCTCTCGATCTTTCGTTTCTTCAGCGTAGTATGTGTACGTGTGTATATGCGTGTGTGTATTGTATTTCCACGGTTAGACAACAATATTTAACACTGGTCTAGCGATTAACAATCAGACTCGAATCTGATTTACACTTACAGATATACGCACTTAACGTTTATGTACAGTATACATATATATATTTATAGACTATGTATTTTATATTTACAGTTGATAAAATTCTTTTTATCAGTGTCTTCATAGTTTATCTCGCGTCTTCTTTAATGCCACTCGGTATATTTATTGCATCTCTCCTCTACATATATAATATATATATCCTATGTATATATATTTATATGCATCTATTCTTTGTAATTATTTATCAATATTCATCGTAAGCGTGATCCAAATATCGACACACGCAGCTCGTGAACTTGGAAAAAGGTAAGCTGCACATGTTCGTTCAACTGTGTTATACACAAGGCACAAGCCTCCTCATATTCCAATTTGAAATCTCTGGCTTTTCTCCGTGTACAAGCACTTGGATTCCACGAAATCTTGCAAACAATTGCACGCCCCTCGTGCATCGTATATATCTATCACAATAGAGCGCAAATAATCAGGTATTCCTGCCTAAACAGCGAAACAACTTTGTCATTGCACGCGTTTGGTAATCCATTTGAAAGATTCACAACACTCGTTTCACGTAAATGCGAATAAGTATATATATATCGTCGCAAAATCGTCTCGCGTCCGCGAAAATATTCCCCATTCGAAAACCATCGTTCAGCACCAAAAATGAAACACAGTACAACCCTGTTGAAGCTCTGAACGACATGAAAGACGCAAGAATATTAATGGAAAAAACTATCAAATTAACAACTACTATTATGAACAACGTACATGAATAATGGGAAAACAGATTCGAATCTAGGCTCGATCAAAAGAAAACCGATCGTAACAACATATGCAATAACCATAGAAAAAGGAAAATATGATCAATGTAAATGGAAACAACGTATCTCGTTCACTGCGACAATAAATAATGCTTGTGCCTTGTGGTGACTCTGAATGCCTCTCGAAAGCCTAGAAATGTGAATGATGTGTCATCGATCGCATCATCGAGGTAAAATTCAAAACTGCTTGTTAGAGGTTCGCGGTAAGTTTTCACACTATAAACTCTAATGTCTCTGATCGACGAACGTTCGATTCGTTCGTCCGTGTCCATCAAGATTGCTCGATAATCTCGATTCTTTTACAGCTCGTCCTAGAGCCTTTAGCTGGAAAACGTCACAACTTCAATCGTGGCAACAACGGCCACGGCGTTTCGTTTAATTTCGCAATATTTCATTGGCTGACGACAATTAAGTAACACCCGTTAACTTAATCGTCAGCTTAAGCTGTTCTCAAACAACCCCTGGCTGCATGGTCAACAGGTACGTGGTGGGGTCGTAGTATCCGGCCAGATAGTATATGTCGTTGTTGTCGTAGATGGTGAGGTATCTGTGTGGTTCTTTGCCCAGCTTGTCCGTGTATTCCTGAAGTGGCAGCACCTCGCATTTGTGAGAAATCGTTTGCACATCATTCTCGTCCATGTGAGGGGACTCGAACAGAGCACCCTAGAGACATTCATATGAACAGGTTCCATTAATATCCGATGGAAAGTTATCTTTGGGAAGCTTGGATGTGGAAAGCTTGTAAGGCTTGGTGTCTTCGGGTGTAGGAAGCTTTTATAATGATAGTGATGTAATTTTTGTAATACAGTGAAATATAAGTTATAAATTTCTCAAAAATTTTTTTGCTGTTGGAGAAGTTTATGTGGATCATGAATTATATGAATGCAATTTCTAATTGTACTATTGATCTTTTTCTTACTGTTTAATCTTTCTTTTCTTAAGTATCCTTCTGTTTTGATTTGGAATTGAATTTCTTCTCTGAATGCCTTGCTGAAGTTTTACGTTTCATTCTTATCCATTCGTGATAGTAACAAAATGAAATATACGAGAATAATATAATTATGTTAAAAATTTGGTGTAGTGGAAATTTTTGGCTTCTACTGTAGAATGCTAGAAGTTTTATTGATGTATTTATCTTGATATCCTCTTTAATGTGTTATTGTCTTAGTTAAGTATACCTTAGTTGAGACTGCCAAATATAAATTTCACACTATCCCCACAACTGCATTTTCAGATGATATAAATATACAATTTGGGAAAAGTAAACGCCGCTTTAAAGTGCTGATAAATATTATCAAAATGAAATAATAGTTATCCAATTCTCATTCTCAACAACAACAAAAAAAGAACATTCAATAAATTCCTATTATTTCAAAATAATTAATTAAAATAATTGAATGTATTCTTACCGGATATTTCAAATTCTTTGGACATCCTACAGTCTCCTCGGGATGATAGAACCATTTCACTTTCACGATCATATTGGAGCTTGAAGTTTCCCACATGGATTCAATGCGGCCAATGTAAGGTCTATCAGGTCTGCCAGTTGATAAAAAGACTGCGCTGTCACCGATCTGGATTGTCTCGCTTCCTCGTTGAATAGCCCGGAAGAATTGCTTTTTAGCCCTTCCTTTGGCACCGGGTCGTCTGTAACCCTTTCCAGCCCAGCCCCATAATTGTCTTGCTGGCAAGAAAGCTGCCATCTTGCTTCGACTCTCCACCGATTCTTGTCGTTCACGCATTTTCGACTTCTTGTCCGCTTTCTTGGGCTTCTCCGGCTTCTCTTCGCGAACGGGTTCTTTGATCGGTTCTGGTACAACTTCCTCTTGACTAACTGGTTCTTCTTCAATTTCCTCCTCGTCCATTTTGACCACCGTTTCCTTAGGCAGTTCCTCTTCACTTTTCTGGCCACAACAACTTTCCCCACTGCTAAGAAGTATTGAAAAAATACTCGAATTAAGATCAAAAATCGTAAACTGAGTTAGTATCACGTATTCTTATTTTATATAAATCATAAACAAGTGTTTATTTTATGTAAATCAAAAGCAGTAATTAAACTTAGAAAAGAACAAACCTAATATGACTCCCTTCGCTGTGACTACTGTGATGGCTATGTCGATGTTTATGTTTACGATGTTTCCTGTGCTTGTGTTTCCTGTGTTCCTCGCAACATTTGTGCCTTTTGTGTTTCTTCTTTCCCTCTTGAGCCTCTTGTAATCTTTTCAATTTGTCTCTTCTTCTCTTCTTCATTCGTTTTCTTTCGCGATATTCTTCCAAGTCTTTTGCATCCATGTCGTCTGACTTGTGTCGTTCCAGCGACTGTGCGTCAGACGACGAAACGTAGCAACTGGTGGTGGATGTAACAGCAGGCATTACATTATTCGCATTCGTGGAAGTAGATGGTTGACTATTACTAGAGGATCGTTTATCCTCCGTTGAAACTGATGTTTGTCGTCGACGTTTTCCCAGTGACAATAATGGATTTGGATCGTATTCTGTAATTTCAATAAAAAGAATTAAGTAAAAGAACAGCAATGAAGATATGTCACTGCGTCTACCTAACATTGGAATAGCCAAAATAAATTAATAAATCAAATAATAATAAAACTATCTAATAACTATAATAACTAAAAGAAAGATTCTAATTGGACGAAAGCTAGGAAAGTTAGTATTCTGAAAAGAACCAAAACTTACCAACGACTGGGTAGTCAGGCTGCAGTAGCCTAATATCATCCAGAGCAATTCTCCCACTATCCCCGTCATCAAATTCTACGCTAACAAATTTTTCATCAAGTTCCGGATCGGGTTCCGACGGTTCGACCGAGGTGCCCGGGTACAAGCAACGATATTGTTGGCTCCAGTAAGCGCATAATCTCGTGCCAGGCGGTAGCTCTTTCGTCGAAGTGGGACAGACTTCCACGATCTGCGAACGACGATGGCAAACAGAAACGTGAGGACTGCGTTCAAACGAAATATAGGCGAAAATGAATCAACGTTAATTTACCGCGTCTCGTAGAATCTCCTCTCTGGAATGGATGTGAGGCCTGTTGCCCCGTTCGCCGTCCAGCGTGATCGCATAAACGTCAGGCGCCTGAACTGCGCTGAGTCTTCCGGCGTAAAATAGACCGCCCATCGCAGTTAAGACCCTCAGCTGGTCTATGGCCAAGTGTGCCGACGTTAATTTGCATTTGTTCACGATCTCCGTCTTCTCGGCTCGAGCGGCCTTCGCGCATTCCTTACACTCTTTACACTCGAGAGATTTCCGGCGTTTCGACTCCTTTTTATCCCTATCGCTGGACTTGTGCCTCGACGGTGATGACGAACTGGATTTTCGTTTCTTTTTCTTCGACTTCTCGTGTCTGATTTTTTCTGGCTCTTTCTCTACCGGTTCGGTAGTATCTACTGGGATTTCCTGATGATTCAGAGACTAGATTATAGCGTTGGAAAAAAAACATATGGGTTTATAAACTTGTAAATATAAATAAGTCGTGTAATAATATTGTTTTTTCCTGTTACCTTAACTGGTTCTTCCACGGTGGATTCCGGCAACATGTTCTCCGTGACACTGCTAGATTCATCATCCTCCCAAGTCTTTACTTTTGCCTCAGCCTTCAGTTTTGGCTTCATCTTACTTTGCTTGTCCAATTTTACTTCTTGACTCAATTTTGCCTTCTCCGCGATGATCGAGCTGATAACATTCTTATTGTGTAAAGGTGTCTGTTTTGCAGGTTTCGATTTTGACTTTGCCGATTTGTGGCTCTTGGAAGAGGATTTCATGGAAGATAGCGCAGTCTTAAACGGTAATGGAGTGTAACCAGATTTGCCCACATACTGTTGAAGGAAAAATTATATTTTAGGGAAATTTTTATTCAAATATGTATTATATTTTATTGATGCTCGAATTAGACACAAAGCTCACTTTTGTTTGAAGATGTCTGTTCTTCGAAGATAAAAGATAACCCACAAGAGAGCTTTTGCTCTTAGGTTTCTTAGCAACTATCGTTTCCGTAAGATGTCTGACACTTCCGGATGTACACATTAACTTCCTGGGTCGACCAACCTTCCGTTTCTTCGATGCTGAACTGGAACTTGCGATTGTAGGTGCCGGAGATGATGTGTCATAGCCAAGCTGTATAGTTTTTACAAAATCTGATAAGATTTCGTGACAAAAGATTCTTTATCTTGTTGTTATATATACAAGTTATTATTAACTTTATTACTTTCAATGTACAAATTTAGTTATTCATTCTTGTACAATGTATACTACTCAGAATTATATCATTATAAATAAAGGCGCAATGAAACATGAAAGTCACACAGGCAAAGTGGTACACAAATTCTTCAAAATATTTCGAGTTTCAGTCTTCTATCTTACTTTGTAAGAGATAGCAGAGTAATTAAAAATTCTAAATTAGTATTTCTATTGTCGAATATAATATTAATGTATATTATTGACTTTCAATGTTTCCTAATTACATTATTTCTGAGATATTTAAATAAAATTCGAAATTTAAAGTACGACTTACCCTTCCAGTGCTCTTTTCATCGTCGTCCTGCGGCGATTTGCTCGATGGCAGCACGGTGATTGGCGAGGCAACTGGTGGAACGGGCATCGGAATGCTTGGTATACTGTCCAACAGTTTAATGTGACTCCTCTGTTCACCCAGTTTCACCAAATTTACGTTACATCTTGGCATAGCTAGCACAGTCGAAGTTAATGGTGGCGGTGCTCCATCCGGGGATTGTGGTGGAGATTTGTGTGGCGAGGACATCGGTTCCAACATCGGTGGTGAAGCAAGTGGTCCATGATCCGAACTGAGAACATTATGAATGACCCATTCAAGCTAGCTTATTAACAATTTACTGATTTTCAATAAAAACCCTAACTAAGTATTTCTCAATGGAAAACTATGGTGAAACGAAGAGCTATTATTTCATTAGAAACGAAACATTAAGCTCACCTAGAAGAATGGCTTTTCTTTCGTGGCCTACCAGGACTCTTCTTCTCGTCCTTCTTCGGAGTTAACTTAGACAGCTCCTTCTGTTTCTCCCTATACTGTCTCTGAATATCAGCCAATCTGACTCTCATATCAAGCTCCATAGCGTCCATATTTGGCCAGTCTGCCTCGTTGTCTATGTGCCCTTTCCTAGCAATGAACTTCTTTGCATCCAGTTTCGCTTGTAAGTTTCTATAATCGTGACAGTCCCGGTGTTCTCCAACGGAGAACCGTCTCTTAATGTCTCTGCTAACCCCGTCACGTATTCTGTTATCCGTAGACATCTTTCGATCATTCATCCCCGTGTCAGAGTCCGACAAATTGCCATCAACGGACTCTTTGTTCCCATACGCCCCATTCACCTGGTACTCGTCATAATGTCGTTCGTAATCCTCGAAAGTTTCGTTTCTTCCATAGTCCAAGTCCTTGTAAGGGCTACTCTTGTCTTCCGATCATACATCCCCGTGTCAGAGTCCGACAAATTGCCATCAACGGACTCTTTGTTCCCATACGCCCCATTCACCTGGTACTCGTCATAATGTCGTTCGTAATCCTCGAAAGTTTCGTTTCTTCCATAGTCCAAGTCCTTGTAAGGGCTACTCTTGCCCAGAGGAGCGTCTTTCAGCATAGCAAGCTCATCGTCATCCGTACTAACGCCATTCTGCTCGGAGAAGTCTATACTTCTCCTCGACTTCTCCTTCACCCTATACACCGCGTCTTCCTGCACCCTCTCTTCGTATTGTCTATTGGCATTGCTATTCTCGCGATAATGCAACGAATTGCACTTCGACTCTTCATTCTCGTACACACCGTCTGTCTTGAACCTCTTGGGATTCTCGTAATTTTCTAGATCAGCGTACTTCCTCTTGTCAGTCGTCTTCGTCTCTTTCTCTGGGACGTTCACTCTCCCCAGGTTCAACAATAACCTACCAGCGTGCGATATTTCCTCGGAGCTCTCGAGATTTAACTTTCGCGGAACCTTGTCTCCCACTTCCTCCATAAATCTCTGTTCTGCCAGAGCGCATAATAATCCCAGAGGGCTGTCCACGTTGTTGTTATTATTCTCCCCCTGTGGGGAGATCAGCTTAGACCTGATAGGTGATTTCTCTACCTCGGAGGTTGCACTGATGTTCTGATTATCAGGTTTCAAGTGTTCCAGCTGCTCGATGCTGTTTGATAACAACTCCAGTCCACTGATGTCAACCGTGGGCTTCTGCTTCGAATTAAGAGTAGGTGCTCTAGGCTTGGCTGTTTGATTGTCTGGCGTCAAGGCAAACGAAGAATCCTCTGGAGCTTCCACTTTTCGGTGTTTCTTAGGAGTGACCACGTCGCTGTCAGTACACTTCATCTCCATCACCTCGCAGACCTCGAGAGAGGAAACTTTCTCCTTCTTTACGACAGGTTGCTTGTCGTCGATTAGCTTAATGTTGTTGTTGCTACTTCTAGTGTCGTTGTTGTTATCGTTCAGGAAGTAATTCCTGGGCAAAGGGTGCTTGTTCGTGGGAGAATCGCAGGGATGCTCCGTCGTTGTCAAATATTTCGAAACATCCTGAGAGTCCTTGACAATCCTCGTTGTTTCCGACGATGACACCTCGGGCTCCCTGGCTATCTCATGTTTCTCCAGGAACTGTGAGTTCTCGCAGGACCTCAGGATGTGCTTCTTCAGACCGTTCTCCAGTTTTCTCGGCACAATCTCCGAGTGCTTCCGGGAACGAAGGTTCTCCGTGTTCTTATCCTTAGGATCGTCCATCTTCTGGGGCGCTGTCTCCTGCAAAGCAGCCGCTGCGTTCTTCTTTAGCTTCTCCACCACGTTTTCGATGCCGGGATGAGACTTCTCCACGGGGTGCCTTTTGGACGAGTCCTGACACTTGGACTTCTCTGTCGTCGACGTTGGTTCGCATCTGTACGAGCAATCCTCGAACGCTGTTTCATCCGCTTCTTGCTTGATCACTATTGGCTCCGCCACCTGTTCGTCGCAGTCGATGTTGGGCATGTCGAACGATTTCACCGTGATCTGTGGACGCGGTGGCGGAGCCTGAGGACGATCGTCGCGATTTTTCTCGCAGCTCTCGCAGTTGGAATCCACTTCTACTTTCGATTCTGTGCGAATCTCCTCCGATGGCTTTGGGACCTGGTCGATTTCTGAACTCTCGGTGATAGAACTCGTATGTCTGGGTAACTCTGTCACTGGCATGTCTTCTGCTTTGGCTACTTCGGCCTGGAAGATGCAACGATGGGTACAGAACTTAGGATAGATTTTTGCTAATCCATAACGCCAGTTTAGTATTTCCTGAAGTATTCAGGGACTTTTGAGTCTACGAGATACTTATTATTTAGGTTGAAGAATAATTGCAATGCTCCTTCTCTATTTTGCAGTAGCGTTATTCGTTCGTTCTTTCGTTAAATAGTTTATAGTTTATAGTTTTTAAGATATTATATACATTCTTTGTTTTATATCTATGCCTCTATATTTTTACTGTATACAAAGGGATTGATACCAGTAAATACAATAAAATAAAAATAAATAAAATAATAGTTAAATATCGAGCAATTAAAATATTGCAAAGATGGGTAATAATAATAATTAAAGGAAATATATATATAAGTTTCTATGTGAAAAGCTATCTCTAACTAATTTCCATGAACACAATTGCATATTTTCAATGACAGTTTTATCTAACTTGACAATTAACTTTAATCCTATTCAATTTTCTGTCATCTGTACCAAGTACTGACTACAGTCATATATACGACAGATATATTACATTTCAAAGATATTTTTCCGCGCGTTAATACTTTTGTTACCACTATACTATACAGCTACTGCAATCGAAGAGATGTAAAGCTGAAAGGAACCGAAGAGAAGGAAGAAAGCCGATATTCCTATAACCCTTACCTCGCACTTCTCAACAGCCTTCGTATCAGTCTCTTCCTCTTGCTCAGCACCAGCAGTCTCCGCGACATAATTCTTCTTCCTATCTCTGTGTCTATCTTCCCTCCTCCTCCCAAAGAACTCCAAGTTCTCGTGAAAACTATCGCAATTCTCCTCGGTGATTTCAATAATCCTCGGCCCGCTCCTGATGTCCCTGCACGGTATCCTGTCATCCCCGAACGACTCGTCATCTTCTTCCTCGCCGTGACTCCTGTCGTCGTGCTCCCTATCGATCTGCCTGGTGACCACGTGCTCGATCGTCCTGTCTATCGACGTCACGCTCCTGCATTCCTTCGTGATCGAGTACTTGGGACAGTCGGCCATATTGATGATCGTGTTCTCGGCCTTATCTACCTTGCCCACGATACTGCACACGGCCGGGTTCACCGTGGTGGTGGTCGTGGTTATTCGCACGACGTTGCACACCTTCTCGGGCGATGCGGCTACGATCTCGAAGTTGGTTAAATTCGTCAGGTTGGTCGTGGTGGTGGTCAGGTTGGCCGAGTTCTGCAGCTGACAGGGGCTCAAACTTTGCTCCTGCTTCACGCACGCCTCGGCCAGCGGCTGCTCTTGATCCTCCGGTTCCGGTGCGTCCGTCTGGTTCGACGCGTCCTGCACGCCAACTATAGGCGCCACTTCCGGTGGCTCGATCGCGTGGATCGTCGTCACCTCGGGCGGCGGCGTCAGACACGAGACCGGCGAGGTCGCCTTCGACAGAAACGAATTTCGCTGCTACGCGCAGGATATTCGAGGATCAAATATTGGCGAGTTAGGCAACGGCGAATTTCGACAAAGTTGGACCAAGCTGAGAGATCGAACTGGGTCAATGATTGCGGACAACTCGTCCGAATCGACTACTTCAGGGCTGAAGCCTGCGACGGCTACGATCTTCGCGGATTGTTGATCGAGCTGATGTTTCGCAGTGTGCCGACTTTTCGCTGGTTGCTACTCTGTTCGCGTGAATTTCAGAAAATTGTCAAACTAGTTATTCGACGTCGTTAATTCTTCCTCCTTTACGTATAATTAATATGCAGAAATTTTATTTGCAATACGAATTCGGAAATGTTGATTTCATTTCCGTCGTATATATATACTCTACGTGTATTTGATATCGAAAAATTATTGGATTTTTCTTCGGTATATCGAGAAATTTAATTAGGTTAGAGATGGAGGATTCGACGACTCTAAATTCAGTGTTCTTGTATGTTCCTAGATTTTTTAAATACACCATATCCTTCCATATTCTTCCACTAGATGACGCTATCCTGTTTTGGAAACGTTTACGTTGAATTTAAGAAAGAGAATGCTGTAACAATTTGAATATTTAAAATTCTAAATCTAAATTTTAATCGAAAGCCATAAAGGTAAAGCAAAATTTGACCAAAATCGAGGGACAGGAAAATAAATTTAAAAAATCTCATAACATTTCGTATGTACCTATCGATATCCCAGATACGACATAAGCAAACCAAAATATCGCATCGAGTTTAATTAAATTTTCCACGTGTTTCCGCTATCAAATGAAGTATCAAATTCGCAAATTATTTCCAAGCGAGTTACAAATATTTTTCCTCTAAAAATATTATTTCTGCGTGGGGAATAATACCACGGTGATTTCCATATTTCTTTTTTTTTTTCAAAATACACAGAGGAATGACAATTAAACATCGATATCGTTCATCGACGTTAAATACACAAAATTTGAATACAACGGTAGTGAAAATCTATTTTTGACGAAGGTTTAACTTGTTGCCTTCATTGACTTTGCCGCACGAGCACAGTTTGATCGATTCAAACACACTTTGTCCAACTTTATTAAAATTTGCCGCAACGCGTTGCAATTTTACAACACAAAGAGCAGAAGCAAAACTAGCCCCGTTTCGTCTACAAAGCGTCAAACGAAATGGCCAAAGGGATTCGTTTGCTGAGTGAAAATATAGGATTTTCTGGTAGCTGCAGCTGCCTCGGGATAGTTCGTTGCACGATTGTGACAACCGGCAACGATCACTGCAATGATTACAGTTGCAAATAGAACCGTATTACACGGATGTTATGACTATGCAAATTAATCCGACTGTGCCATTTAATACACGTTTAGTCGAATAATTTACGTTGATGCCTAGCAAAATAATTTCGCCGCGCAAATGAAGACTGCTAATAGACGGTTAAACTGTTTCGAGATACGCATTGCATTTTCTAGTTATATCTGCGCGAATAACAAAATCTTTGCATCGCGATTTATGCATTTCCGATATTTAATTGGAGGAATACGAAAGAAGAAATGCTACGTCTAATCGCATAATTTTGGAACCGATAATTTCCCTCGAATTTCCTAAAAAAATTTGATATTGTCTAATCGCATAATTTTGGAACCGATAATTCCCTTCGAATTTCCTAACAAATTTTATATTGCCTAATCGCATAATTTTGGAACCGATACTTCCCCTCGAATTTCCTAAAGAATTTTATATTGTCTAATCGCATAACTTTGGAACCGATAATTCCCCTTGAATTTCCTAAAAAATTTTATAGTTTTTAATCGCATAATTTTGGAACGGATAATTTCCCTGGAATTTCCTAAAAAAAATTTATATTTCGAGTGGAAATTAAATTTAAATCGTACATTTACATGTTCTCATTTTGTTATTTGTGTTTATATTCGATATTACCTCTGATGTATTCCGCACACGGTATTTTAAATCGTAATTACAATGCGAGACCAAGATTATTAATTACGAGGGATTCTGGGTAAAGGAGGATAATTAGTAACGATATTGGAAGCAACGCAAATATTTGTACGTGTCTTTAATCTACATTCAATGCTGATTGTTATTCATTAAGATAATAAAAAACTCGATCTCCTATCGTAATTGAGAATTTCATAAATTGAAATGCAGCTGAAATATCGCCCAGAATATTAACTAGTAACACAATCAAGCGTCTGAAAAAAGAGTTAAAAATTCAGAAATATTTAAACTGGCACATTCATATCCGTAATTAAACCTTTACAAAAATTCCCAATTAAAATAACGGCACCAGATCAATTATATTAATAATTATCGATTATAATCGAATATCGTGCTGAAAAATATCTACGATTTTATTTGAAATAAATACGACAGGCACGTATAGAATATCTATTTAAAAAAAGAAAATGGTAACTTCGAGATCTAGCAAAATACCATTTTCTCCAATGTTCGATAGCAACGAAAATATTTCCCACCGTCCACGCCGAATGGAACACCCTATATATCTAATACACCTCGCGTTCGACGACAGATAATCGAGCAAAAACTGTAATCTGACTAAAAACATGTTGCAAAAAAGCTTATCGAAGGGAACCACAATGTGCGTTATTCCATAATGGAAACCAATCTCCCGGAGGATTGAAAAACGAAGAGGCGAGCATTGCAAGGAGCGAGAAAGGAAATCGATGGTGCAAGGAAGAGACAGAAAACGAAAGAGAAGGAACAAAATAAAAAAAAAAAAAAGAAAAAGAAAGGAGCAGAGAAGAAGAAGAAAGAAAGAAAGGAGTAAACCGTATTGTTGGCTACGACTGAAAAGCTCTTTGAAATTGCGCTTGGAAAAAGCGTACGTCGTGAGAAAGGAGAGTAAGCAAGGATTAACACGCTTTCTGGTAAGCAAGCAACAGCTTAAAGCTTCTGTTCGCGTAACGAATTAACACCCTCGAGTCATGAATCACTGAAGGAACAACGAAACGCTGAGATTAGGTCTCGAAGGAAGTCGAGGAAAATGCAGAAAGAACTGGGGAGCAAATTGGAGAAAGGAGATAAAGGTGAGGGCTGTCTAGGGAATTTTATTAGCTCGAGATATGACAAATACGAGGAGTAAGGAATTTTCTTAATCTTAACACAATGTTAACACTAGAACTACCTAAGGACTATTAAATAATTGGTCCTTGATTTTTCCTTCTTGGAATTGGTGAAATAGACAGGTACTTTTGCACATTTCATTATTCGCTTTCATCTAGATAAAAATAGTATCGATAATATATATATATATAATAAAATATATATAAGATAATACTCTAATTCACTTTCAGGATACAAAATGATAACACATTCCATGATTTTCAGTGTTTCTTGAGCGTCTTCAAAGAGGTGTATCTTAAGAGAAAGAAATCGTACGATTATAAATCAAATTTCATTTTACAAAGGAAGGTTAGCATTATATGATACAGTGGATAAAAATATTGGGGAAAAATTACTATCTTTTCATTATCGGATTTAATGCATAAAAATATGTAAGAAATTTTTCGAAAAATAAAACAGAAAAATATAGGATATGATACAGTAATTCTAGTGTCAGAATTAAAATTAATGAAATATTCGACTCATCTTTAATCACCTAACAAATTTCGAACCGGAGATAGCTCTAACCTAACCTAAAAATCTAACAGGCAACTCGCAGAGAATGATTCTCATTCCTCCAATTGAAAATATCATGGATATTCGTTACATTATTAAAACCTAACAAATAAATCTGTTACATCCTATCGCCCTAACGAAATTGCCCAAGCAGCGATATTTAAATCGACAGACGAAGAAGAGAAGCGATAAAACACGAAAACACAGGGAAGCCAATAAGCAAATGAACAGCGAAGAGCAAACCAAAGACCTCGCAGGGACAAACCGGCGGGAAACGTTCAGTGTCCCAGGAATTGCAGGGTCAACAGCGAGCTGGTTAGCAATATCTATGCAGATAGCGATGCAAATAGGTTTGCGCATGATTAATACAATGTGCCACAACGTTTCCGCATTATGCGAACGGTTGGACCGCGCCCTGAGCTTGGCATAATTACTGTCGTCCCTCCGCCAACGTCGTTTGCTTTTCCCTCTTGTCACCACGCTCGATTCGACGTACGATCGACGAACATGGACAAAAGGGGGATGATTCGACGATGAGAGAGGAAGAGAAGAGAGAGATAAAAGAAAAGGGGGAGAAAAAGCGATGAATGGGAAGGAAAAAAGGGGCGAAGGACTTACCTGTGATCTGCAGTGCGTTGGCTCGGCCTGGCTGATTTGGACCAGGGCAGGAGCATGAGGGTAATAGTGCAGGGTGGTCACCAGGGGTGCATCCGGTACGAGGGTCCCTGTCATCGAAGTCACGGTCTGCAACGCCTTCGTCGACTCCGTTGACGCTATGGGATTAAGATATCCATGTTATCCAGGAAAGCATTTTCCTTTCGCGACGAAGAGTCTCTTTTAGAATTAAAGAGGGGGTTCCTTGCATGCTTACTGAGTTTTCTCTGACTCTAGAGACGTGTATCTTTATTCGATTCTTTTTATTCTTTCATTTTTCTTAGCTAGTATTGTAGCAATAGCTTTTAAAATTATGCATAGTCTCATAGTTTATTATAACAACACAAGTAACCCTCTCATTGCATACCTCAAGCCTTACATGGAGTATTCGTGTATTACTCAGGAGTTAACAATCTTATGGCATTTTTAATTCTAACGTAATCGTGCAATTCTGTCGACAAATTAATTAACGAAAATTTCTAGTCGTTTCGAAGACTCTGTCAGACTTACTGATTATGGTCGTGGGACTATTACCGCAGTCTGCCTCTATCTTCACGATAGGCAGAGTGCTCTGCTGCTTCCTTTTACTTTCAGTGAGGACGAGCCTGGCGCCACCTATGTCGCTGAGAAGCTGAAGAGACGGCGGTGGAGGCGGAAGCAGAAGAGGCGGCGGCGCGACGTTTCCGTTATTATGATTCGAGTAATTTGGCCACACCACGGCCTGTTGCATTTGTTCTGTAGACAGGAAATTGCGAGATTTTTCGAAGATTTCACGGAAATATCCCGATGTGCGTTTATTCTCGTTGAGAGCATGTTACCAAGGCACAATTTTGATATTTTTCAACCTGACGTTTGGTACGATGTTTCGCGATTTTTATTTTATTTGTCGAATAAGAGTGCACTCTGCAGTTTGAACGCATGAACATGTAAACGTTTAAAAGCTTCGTTTATAAAATTAAATATTCCGATACGTACAGAATCGAAAATAGTACGTGTGTAAAGGTGAAATGTGGTGGAAAAATATTTATTCGCAAAGAAGTGAAATGATATTTTTCCTTTTTTGTATTTTCTTTTTTTAACGTTACGATGTTTCTAATTCGGCGTACCAGCAGCATGGATGAGAAGAAGGTGACCTGTCGTGGGGTCTCTGACCAATTGGAGACCACCTTGAAGACCGACACCCATTTGAGGAAAACCGACTGGTTCCATTGGCATCGCTGTAAAAGTGTTTGACAAATTAGAAAATGAATAAATTAAAATTAAAATATCAAATTTAATACTAAGAAATTTTCTAAGAACGTAGAATAGACGATAATAATTTTTAAAATTGCTATAGTCAAATTGCATCATAATTCAACCTTCATTGGTCAACTAAGTGTCATACCTTAAAAATTCACTAGAAAAATTTCAGAATTTAATTTAATAATATTTCCCTTAATTTTGACAATGAGAAATATTTTGTACGCAATCTATACGGTGTTAAAAAATGAATAAACTATTAAAAGAAAAATATACCCCGATATACTGCTAGCGGAAATTTTCTAAACGCAAAGCTTTTATGATGCTCGTAACCATATTCTTTGTCCCAGACTCTAATTCGGCGACACTCGAAGAATTGAAAGCGCAAAAAATTCAGCGCAATTACCACTTTTGATAATTACTTCCTGCACCATACTTTTCTTAACCCTTTCAGAGTTCCATTAAAATTCTCCATTTTCGTACAATACGAAACACGTTCGAATAAACAGGAAAAAGAACGCTGCACACGATGCAAATGTTATTTGTAAGGATTTAACAAACTTCTCGCGAAAAGGGTAAAAAAGAGACGGGAAGAAATAATAATAAAATGGGAAGTTGGAACAACTGCCACTCTCCGCGTAAACCGGAAATCTCGGTGGTTTTCATACCGTCTACGATAAAATCACTGCAACAGCGTTTTCATTCTCCTATTCCATATTGCCCGCAAATTTCCAACTTTTCACCGACGAAGAATTTCCCGATACTCCGCTGTCGGGCCAAATTAAAAACCATTTTTTACCGGGCGTGGCGCGCGCTCCAAGGATTTTTCGCTACCCTCCAATCGCGATCAAGAAAATCGACAAGCGGTCGAAATAAACGCTGGCAAAGAGTCGAAAATCGACGATTTGAATGCAGAAGCTCGTGAATGATTTAGCTAGCGCGAGAATACCCAGCCAGCGCGAATATAGACGCTCGTTATTCGGATAAATGTCACTCGGTCACCGAGGGAGGTCGGTCAGCCTTGCGAACAAGGGGTGAATTCAACCCGAAATCGGGTTCAACGTTGTACGCGACAAATATGTACCGACAAAACTGCGCTGGTATTCTTGCTTCTATTTCCCGTGTAACTGCGAACGAGAAATATTTATTGACAGACGCGTCTCTTCTGCCAACTGGCGTGCCTAATATTTCGCGTAAAGTAATATTTTTGAGTGTTTTCGTGGAAAATGGTATTCAGAGATTAGACTATTTCAGTGTTTTAATGTAAGATGTTATCTTAGAGTTGGAGGATGCTGGTATTTCAATGAGAAGTACGTGAAAGGTGAGACGATGGAAGGTTTGACAAATTTGGCATAGATAATAGCTAGGGGTGAGTTACTTGTTACTTGATTTTTTATAGTGATATAAAATGTACGTGTGTAAGTATCTATCGATTAAAAGAGAATAGAAATTTATTTTAAATAAAAAAAATTGAATGTCAATCAAATACTTTGACAGTAAAATTAAAAAATATTTTACATGGAGTTAATCAATGTGAACTTGTGAATTATTCCTATATTGACAGTATGATTAATGAGATTCCCCATAACTTTCTCAGTTGGTATTATTAAATTTGAGATTCTAGTTTTAAAAGAACGAGAGAGAGGAAGAGAGAAAGTGCGAAGAAAGTAGGAAATAGAATTAGAAACGAGTCAAAATTTAAAAAGATTTTTAAGTATGGAAGAACAGTAAATAAATATATATGAGTCATTCATTTGTCACATTGATTAACTCCACAGAAAAATAAGAAGAAAAGTAAAAATAGAAATTTATTTTAAACATAGATAATTGGATATCTGTCAAGTACTCTGATACAAAAATTTAAAATGAAGTTTATTACTTTAGCTTGCAAACTGTTCATATATTGTCAACTATGGTGAATATAGTACTCTGTAATTTCACAAGTTGGCATTATTAAATCCGACACCCTACTTAAGAAAAGAGAGTGCAAGAAACTAGGAAATAGAATTACAAATGAGTAAAAATAAAAAAAAAATTAAAATATGGAAAAATAGTGAAAATAGAGCACCCTGAAGTCAAAATTGATCCCAATTTATCGTTCACCGGTTCCACTAGCGACTCGCAATTTAAAAACTCAAAAAATCCGACGGGGTTGGAAAAAATGGTGGAAAATCGTTAAAAAAAATCGAGCTCACGGTGGTTACGTCGGAGCTTCAGTATCACTCGAATAAACGAAATTAATGGCAGCGACTTTTCGGAAAATATTCACGGTGTCACGCGAGAAACAACGCATTCAACGAACACGGTGGCGCCAGTTCACGTGCACGGTGCACCGAAAGATTTGCGCCGGCTTAACTAAATGGCGGTCACGGGTTTGCAAATAAATATCCGATTACCGGAATGATTTATTCCGCCACGCAATCCGCCAGAGAATTAACCGAAAAAAAGAAAAAAAAAGGGAAAAAAAGGGAAAGA